AAATTAGAGTTTTTAACATATTTTTGATACATCAAAATGATATCTATAATAAATATTGAAATCTATAATTCTCTTCAAAAAAACTGTTGGTACAAAATTTATTTAAATTTAAACAGAAAATACATATATATTCTCCGTTTATATATACAAATAAATTCACAATAGAATATCTGTATTGTATTAGTTATAATCTAATAATACGGAGCTACAATAAATTTTATAATTAGAGAAAGAAAACCTGAATTATGATTTAAGCAAAATATCGAATATTATCATACTCATAAGATAAAAAAAGATTGTGATCCCTAAGTAATATTCTCAGCAACGCTTTAACCTTAATCAATATCTTGCGGACTTCAAAACTATTTCACTTTTCGCCAATGATGTTTATCGGTTTTGGAACTATCTTCGACCATAGTTTAATTAACGGACTACTGGCCAATTAAGATTTGTTCAGGTTTCTCATCATTCAAGGCCTTTTATGGGTCCTTATCTGCAAGTGCAAGACGGCGACCTCCGATAAGGACGATGAGCCAGCGAAACGGTGACGTCACGGAAAGCCTAGGATGAGCGTCTGCACTTGATTCCTTAATACCCTAATCAGAAAATTGCGGAGATATTGTGTATTAAGCAAGAGACTGGTGGAATAAACGTAAACGTAACGACGCGCGCGCGATATGTATCCTTTTTCTCAGTCAGTATCATTCAAAATTACGAGGAAAACTTTGTCACTTCCACAAACTGTCTTATCGCGCTTACCTAATTCGTTTTAATAAGACTCGATCGTTTTGGTCCCTTACATGTAGACTTAAATAGTTGTTAAATAGGAATCTGGATTTCTTTTCTTCTTATCGCGAGAAAATCCTGGTTGTCTAAGTTAAGAGAAGAAAAATAAAGAAGTTTAAAGAGATGGATTTTAATAAGCTTATATTGCTTATATCGACGCGCCACTCGACTACTTCATCAACTGATGATCAATATTATCTATTATTTAAGACCCATATACTTAAATGTATAGGAATATTCTTTACAATTGTCTTAAAATTAAATATTAGATTTTTATGAAAAATGTTTATTTAAATTCCCGAATACTTCGGAAAAAATATAAATTATTCTCTATATTAGTTTACATCATCATCATATATAGTGTTATTAAAAATAAAATAAAAAGTTCTACATTTGATTTTAAATGTCTAGAAAAAATTCGTACGCATATTCCATCGTTGATAAAATCGTGAGAGTAATAACGATCGACCAGGTCCACTCAGGATCGACAGAGCGACTTTCCTCTGATCGATGATGATGTATGGCACAAAGAGTGTTGCGAAAGTAAGGGAGAACAGCCGCGGTTTACGCACGGCGGCCGGCGTGGCGTATCGAGATATCGAAGCCCAAGCTCCGCCCGTTCTGCAGAAGCTTAGGGTCCACCAATGAAGATCTGAACCCACCAGCCAGCACGCGACCAGTTGGGCTAAGGGCAAACGTAAAACTCACCGATCGGCAAGATAACTGGTGTTTAACACGCGAGCCGAACCGCCATTAAGCCCAGCCCACCGTGCGATTTCCGCGCGCTCGCTCCACCGTCTCGCGGCGATTGATTTACGGCCCGCACTGGCTCTTCTTCCCGCGGAAAGAGAAGAAGAAGAAGAAGAGAAAGAAAAAGAAGAAGAAGAAGGAACGAGGGGACACACGCATACGCGTGCGTGGCATCCGCTCTCGGGTAAGAAAGGTGCTCTCTGGTGCTCTCGCGCTATTCGTGCAGCGCCAGAGTTCGTTGCACCCCGAACTGCAGTCCAGGTAAAGCCCCAACCCTCGGACAGCGTGCACGTTCGCCGAATATTCGACGGTAGCGTACTTGTACGCTACCATGAGTAGGAATTTAATTCTAGAACGCCATCGATACGTAAATTTTACATACAAGTGAACAAGATCATTGAGCTCTAAGCCTTCAGTGATCATTAGGAGATTCAATCTGCTATGTTAAAAGCTAGGAACAGCTTTTAAAAATTATGTTTATTTTTTATGCATCAATTTAGTGGTTATTAAATTCAATCTTAAAACGATATAATACTATTTATGTATCATTTTAAGATTGAATTTAATAGTATAATTATACCTTTTTTTTAAATAAATAATTCAGCTATTTATAAAAGTTTAAATTATGTAAATACTTTGGCATTAAAAGTGTGAAATGTATGAAAAACTTGTATTATATTAATTAATTAAGAATAATCTTATTTTCTTGTACGTAAAATTTATCGGTAGCAATACTGTATCATTCACAATAGTATATAAATACTATTTTAGTTAGTCTGTCAGATATCGATACACTTTATTAATATATTTTCGTGGAAAATATTATTATACTCGAATCATTTTCAACTACATGTCTGTTTACTATATATAAATACATATATGTCAATTGTTACATCAATGACCACACTGCGATTATTTGCGGGTACATCCAGTGAGTATCCATTGTTCCAACATTAGTCCTCTTGGCCATCTTGGTCATCTATATATCAGCAATGTCTACACGGATATGCTCAATGGCCGTTATTATATCCCTTTAGTAACCCTGGGGATCGAAAGCATGTGTGTCCTTAAGTACTAATTCAGTAGGATAAACAACTCTACAGCCATATTTGAATTATTAAGTATAAACTATTATAATTTGAAATTAGACCGATGAAAATAAACCACAAAAGAAATAACTCTATTTTATATATTATATATTTTTCCTATTTTATATTTTACATATTATATATTATACATAAACATATCGAATAAATCTTATATACATATCCACATTCATATCAAAATATTTAATCAATAAGATCTGCTTTCACCAAAAATAAAATGATTTCTTTTTATTAAATATAATTATTAATATGTCATCACAATCGAAAATTTGTGGAGCAGACTTTCAAAATGCGTTTTGTTCAAAATTTCATTTTTTATAAGTTGAAGATGACGTAATTCAATGTTGAAATTGAAATATTTGTTATATTTTAAGCTAATCTTGGATATTTAAAGAGCATTTTTTTATCGTCAATTTATATGTTGATAAGAGACATTCGAAATGCATTACCTGTGTCTAACTAAAAACAAACAAAATGCAATTTTTAAACATATTTAGCAATTCTTTTAACATCTTTTTCCTTGTTTTCTGATAATTTTAAATTTTAGAGTGTAGATAAAACGCATTTTGAAAGTCTGTTCTTCATTTGTCACTTAAAGAATCAAACAGTTAATTGTATGGTCGTGTAACAAAAATTATCGGAAAAGATGTTAGAAAAAGCATCCTATATATTTTAATGTTAGTTTTATCTATATGTGCCTAAAAAATATCGCAACGACAATTTTGCAAAAATTCACCGTCTTATTTCACAGAAATGCGACGAGTAAGTGTTAACCCCGCTTCCACGAAGCGACGCGCAACGGTTAAAATTCAGTCACAACCCAAAGCCGCCCCCTCATAAAGGAAGCGTCGGTTCATAAATTGCCCCCTCGCCCTGCACGTCCACTTCTCTCCTTACCATCTCGGCCGCGACGCAACGATCTCAATTTTGAGGGTGCCAGCAGGAAACTACCACCCTCGACAAAACTTGGTGAATTCATTATAGGACGAACAAAGGCAACACCGAGGAGCCTCGAGCGACGTGCTTGCGCGCCGCGGTAGGACGATGTGGCGTAGGGCCCCGATGTGAGAAGAGCCAATCAAAATCCTTCGTAACACGGAGAACCCCACTCATGGATGCTACGCCGCTAATAAGTGACAATTGCCTGCCATTAAAAGTGTCGGTCATTGCGAGACGGGAATGGATGCCGTGCTTTTCCTGAATATAATAGGACATAATGGAGGTTGTACACGACGGAGAAAGGAAACCGATGAGAAAAGCGAAGGGAGAAAATAAGTATATACATACAATACGACTCAAAAAGTTGACAAATTCCCTCAATAAGCCTCAATCGAATAACTTCCATTATTTATAGAACGGTTTCTATGCAGATGTTACATAATATTCTCTACCCTCGGTTATATTCTTCCAAATTTATAATCAATTATTTGGTCTTGTAATGAAAATGGAATAGTTATAATTTTTTTAAATTTTATATGTAAATTAAATTAAATGTTTCTTGAAATAAATTCGGTTTCACACACACACACAAGACAACCCTTTATTTGTTGGAATTTATAATAGGAGAATAATGGAGAAAATATAATATAATACCTATATTATATTTATATAATATGTACATAATAATAAAATATATGCAATATTGATACATATAACGTTCATTCACAGAGTTGTATTAATTTATTGTTTCTCATTAATTATTATAAAAGTTGCAAAATAATACAGGACTTTTTTATTCGGTTTAATCTGTTCTACTTGCTCGCACAAAAGATATACAACACTACTACCAGATACTTTATATATTTCAATTATATTATCTAATATTCTTTTAATTGTTGAAAATTGTTTTACGTTTTTTAAAATTGTTTTTTATTACTGCACTTTCGAAATTAATGTAAAGGAAGAAAAAGTATGTAAGATTTCAAAAGTCATGTTAGAGGATAAATATAAATTCAAGGATTAAAGAAGTTCAGTATACAGCAAGTGTCAATAAAGATACTTATTTCTTGTCGACATATCTGGGCATTATTTTACGTCAGATTCTCAGTCGGATTTCATTCCATTCCCGATTTGTGGAATTTGATTCTGCACGGTATGCGCACGAAATTGGCATAATCGTGTTTGTTTCGCATTACCTATCTCGCGGGCGAGCAACGTTGGCGCAGGAATGCGGTCCGATTATTCGGAGGAAGTCGAAGGATCTGTCCCAAGATCTTGGCAACGATCGAGATGTCAGAATCGCCGATAACGTTGCTTGAAAAACCCGTCATGAATTCTTCATGTTATCCCTCGCGCTGAAAAACTCTGCGACGAATTCGAAAATTTTCGACCAAATCGGCAAAAAGTTGATGACGCGGATATTTAATGGCGATTATGTCTGACATAGGTATTTCTAATATGTGATTCATAAAAGTGATGATTAAAAGTTAATCAAGCGTCAAATTTTTGTTAAGAAAATATAGGTTAAGTATTCAATTTGATTAGACAATTCAATAAAATTAATTAGGGAAAAAAGAGATTGTTTGATACAATAATAAAGATGCCTTTTTTCTTTTTCTAGATGAAGCGCTTCCTGTTTACGTGTTCCTTCAACGTTCCAACGTATCCGATTACATTGGAAGCCCCTTCGGGTCTTGGATACAATTTTTTCTATGTAAAATGATAATGGCCGGCGAGCGGGAGCATCAGACATCATCATCGAGAAAAAACCGACTTTTCACGCCCGTAAGACAAGACTCGTCGCGCGCCGACAGGTGTGTAAAATTATTTAACTCGCCGGATCAAATTCAGTCGTTCCTCCCTCATGATCTGTCCGAAACGTATACAGATCGAGGTGCAAGCAGATGTTACGAAAGAAAAATGAGAAATTGTATTTACACTTTTCTGTATTTCTGAACAAGCGGAAAAATAACCATAAGAATAATACGTTTTGAAAAAATTGACAGAACAATTTTTATATTAAATACATGTATATCGCTTTTACAATATTACTTAATATTATAATATTACTTAAGTTCAATGAAAGAGTTGCAATATAAAAATTGTTTTTTAGTATTTGTATCAAGTGAGAAGAATTCTAGTCTTCTATGTATATCACCTATGAACACATTTATAAAATTGCAATAGGAACGTACACACACACACACACGAGTATCCCACATAAGGGATAATTATTGAATTCTTTACCGTTGGTTTCAATTCGTAATTTGATGTTAAATCTTTATTAAAGGCGAAAAGGTAGGTGTCAAAACTTCGAAGATACCCAAAAGAAGCTGAGAAGTTTGGGAACCTTTGGGTTAAAGGAAGCAAATTGAGCTTCCTCTTGCCAGCGGTTCTCTCCCCTGTCGAACACGCCTACCGTCTGATCTCGTAACGCCGCGGGTTCGATTGGAGATCGGATTTCACGGCGTCAGGCGGCTGTGAAGAGGTCTCACGAAGTAGGCCATCTTTTTTATCGCACATCTCTTCAACGCTCGCCGTAGATCGCAGCTGCGGTCGTCGCGACGACCCATCGACTGACCTCGCCGACAGACCATTTCTATTCTTACTTCACCTTTGAGACGAGAAAAAAGTCCGTGGAAGGGTAGTAAAGCTGGACTCACCCTTTTCGTAATGGGTCTTTTTAGCACTTCGTTTATCTTCTGTCTAGACCCTACAGATGCACATTCTACATCATTCCACACATTCTACACCTTCCCCCCTTTTTTCTGCCTTTCTTCGAAAGCTGCCTCCCTTATCTCACCTCAATTGTAGTAAGAAAGTAAGCACTTGAAGAAGATAAACTTAATTATTTCGTACGTGGTTGTATCACGGGAATCCATTTTATGTGTTCCATCCGCAAAACCCGTTCATTTCTTTCGCGTTAATTTCATAAAAATATGATATAACTATTTGATTATAATGTTATATATATTAAAAGCTATAATAATATTTCACATTTCTCATTTCGTACTCCCTTATCAAGTAAAGAATTATTTTTAATCGGAAACTCTGAATTTCTGAAATTATGGATATCTATTAACAGTTTGCAGTTATACACGAGTATACATCACACGTTTATTGTAAGAAATATCTACTACTTATACAAAATTGTATCTCTTAGATAACCTCGCGATAAAGAAGTGGAAAACACAAAAGTATAATACGCAACGCTTTCTGTATACCCTATCTTCGCTTAGCTGTTTAGCGAAATTTATTCTTGTGAGAGAAAAGCAACGCGCTCGAGAAACACACGTGACTCAAGATCTGGCTGGAAACACCACTGTAGGATCCTCGTGGAATCTACACGAGCGAATTTCCTATTTTCGCGATGCTGCCGGGCCGTCGTTTCTCCACCCGGCGTTTATACCGCCAAAGCCGCGAGAGAACCGTCACACATACTTGCGCAGCTACTTAGACCGGTATTACACTGTCTGCGTGCCGGGTTCCATAAGGTTGGCAGATTATTGATGAAGCCGCGGCCGCGCGAAGCACCACGCATATCCTGCTCGCGAGGGTACAGTTATGATTGCTGCAAGCAACGGCGGACCATTATTAACGTGAGAAAACGTGGCTACTTTCTTCCCTCTACCCTCTCTCTCTCTCTCTCTCTCTCTCTCTCTCTCTCTCTCTCTCTCTCTCTCTCTCTCTCTCTGGCATCTCGATTAACTCAAAACTTAGTAATGGACATCACAATGATAATCGGGGATTCCATTCGAAATATTATAAGATATTATACAAAATTAAGGAAAGGATAAAATTTATCACATGTATCTTAGCGCGATACTTTAAGCTCTGACAATGGAGGAATTAAACACGACCAAAATTGCTAGCATTCTGTTGCTATGCTCTACACTTCAGATATTAAAACATACTTCTCTTAATTAAATGTATAATTGTCCAGAAGATATTGTGAGGAAAAATAAGAGAGAGAGAGAGAGAAAGAATAAAGTACGATATTGTTAAAACTGAAACAGAAAACATTACTTTCAACATTTTCAATGTTTGACGTTTATTTTGGTTTTTAATTTGACATTTAACTGTATTTGCTCAAGCGTTGGAAGTCATGAACAGTAAATAAATGAATGTGTACAATATATCCGTTTTTATTATGTTTTAAAACATACACATGCACACATTTTAAAGTCTCTTCATTATATGATTAATAATCGTTAGTTGCAAATGGTAGATTGCATTTGAAACAAATTGCATAGTACACTGGGTACAAATGGACTCAGTGTTATCATCGATACGCGGCATCATTAATAAGAGTTGCTACAACGAGGTTCAATACTATATCATATCATTATAAGCTATCGTTAATAACATCCTGTAATCGCCAAATGAATCTGCTGAAAGCAATCTACGATGAAAAACTATGGCAAACGCATTGTACGAGGATGCCTTCTGTGATTTGCGTGGCCAATCGTGTAATAAAATTAATTTCCGGTCAGGTGGTTGACGTAACGCGTCCATTTGTTTCCGGCCGCGAACGACCTGGGTATCATAGCGACGACGACCCGTCGATGAACCAGGAGAGGACAGCGGGGCCACATTCCATCGGCTCGAGATTTATTTGTCGAATATAAATGTTGAGAAGGTATTTTTAATGGCCGACAATAGTGGCCTGATAGTGATCTGAGAAACGTATTATCGTTGGACGTCGTATATAATCCCGGAGGCATCGACGCAGCCAACAAAACGGACACACATCTGTCCCCCTTTCCCTCCACCCGTCCTCTCTCATCTCGATAAGGTCTCACTTCCCTCCCTCTAAACTACCTTTTTTTTTTCTTTTTTCTCTATCATTTCTCTTACTGACTTATGGACTCCCAATACCAATTTACACGATCTCATTTTTGATTATCCAAATTGAATGTGCCGGAGAACTTTTTGTTTAGATGTGTCATATATAGAAAATAAATCCTTCTGTTCGATGATGTTCTTTGGCTAATTTCGTAACCGCTGCAACGCGACCGAGATACGTAACTGCTTATTGTACATTACATATTATAACATTAATTTGAACAATGTATTTTTTATATACATACGTTTCATTACAAGTTTTAACAATAAATATTGATGTTCATTGATTTTTATGAGATTCATGACCTTCAACTCTGATTAAATGTATTATACAATCATATTGTTTTAAGTTAATATAATTAAAAAACCCTAAAAAGATGATAAAAACGAAAATAGAAAGAAAGATTTTACATTAATAAACAAAGTCATCTGGAATATCAGAGAAAATAGTTTTTAAATAAAATATTAGTAAGAAAATATTATACATTATATTTTTTTAAATCAGACCTGGATAGATCAGCAGGGTCAAGAGAGTATGGTAAATTATAATAATTATGATTAAACCAATCCTGAATTAAAACTCACAGAACATTATTAAAACGTTTTGCGTACTTTATATTCATACAATTACACATTCCAGAATATAGTTTGCTCGCGTTCCACTTTGCATGATCACTAAAAATAATTTAGATATGAACATATAAAGATGAAACGTGGAATGACTTTACCTATTTCCTGTGAAAACACCATTTCCACGATTCGCTTTCCTTTCGCATTGAAAGATTCATTCGGGATGATCATTCAGAGTGAATCGTGTAAATTTGCCTTAAAAAAGAATCTTTCAAGCTCTTCTTGTACCGCGATCTTTACTTGTTCTCGCTCATACGATCCACGTTTATTCTATCTATGTCTCTCTCTCTCTCTCTCTCTCTCTCTCTCTCTCTCTCTCTCTCTCT